AAAGGGGACTGATTTAGTCATAACTAAGGCTGCGTGTCTGTCACAGAGGTCAGAGATTCTGGGACTTTCCGTGATCTCTGCAGAGGCCAGTCCAGCTGGCTCCAGGGCTGCCCAAGCAGATCAAGCAGTCCCTGGGCCAGTCGCCCCGGCCGCTGCTGGGGCAGTTTGGGTGCGGATGGGGATTCAGGGCTGGGGATTGGTGTACGGGGTGGTGCTTACCTCTGTGGCGGGGAGGCTCCCTGAAAGTGGCTGGCACATCCCTCTAGCTCTTAGGCAGAGTGGCTCTGTGTGCTGTCCCTGCCTGGAGGCACCGGCCCCGCAGCTCCCATTGGCTGCTGTCAGGGCCGGCTCCAGGCAGCAGCGCAGCAAGCAGGTGCCTGGGGCGGCACGTCCAGCTCTTTGGCGGCAATTCGGCGGCGGGCCCCTCAGTCCCTCTCGGAGGGAAGGACCTGCTGCTGAATTGCTGCCGAAGAATGAAGCGACAGTAAAGCTGCCGCCGAAGTGCCGCCTATCGCGGATTTTTTTTTTTTGCTGCTTGGGATGGCAAAAACGCTGGAGCTGGCCCTGGCTGCTGTTCCCAGCCAATGAGAGCTGCGCAGCCAGAGCTTGTGGCGGGGGCACGGAGCCCCCTTGGCCTTCCCTCCCCCAGAGCTGCAGGGACACGCGGAGCTGGATAGGGAGCCTGCCAACCTCGCCACCCCTTCCCCCCACAGCTCTAGCAGGGGTCCCAGGCCTTCCCCACCCCACAGCACCCACGGCACCCCCAGACCACCCCCCAAGCCCAAGTTTTAGTCAGGTCCCGGGCCGTGAATTTTTGTTTACTGCCCGTGACCTGTCCATGACGTTTACTAAAAATATCATTTGCAATTGCCATACTGGAAAAAGAAGTTAGCAGGATTGTGTAAACTCTGAAATAATGTAAAATGATGATTTGGCCAAAGAAAAATGTCAGGGTTTAGTTTTTTTTCCCCGCAGGAAATATTCCCGGAACAATATTGCCTGTGTTTAGGAAGGGGTATATATCTGGGGTATTTGATGATGGGGCAGAACTCAAAGACAGGGGAAATTTGAGTCCTCTTTAGGGTGTCAAATACTCAGAGTAGCCCCAAAATACACATAAACAAGTTAAAAACTCTTAAATCATACATGAGCAGTTGATCTGTTCTCAGACTCTCAGCTTTGTATAGCTGAAACCTCTTTACCTGCTCATTTGATATGGAGACCAAGTGAAGTGATTGGATATACAGTATAAACTGGGGCATTTCTACTCAGGTTACATAGTAATAATACAGTTCAATACACTTATATAGTGTAATTTATCCCCAAGAATACACACACACACACCAGACCACTATGCACTGTGTGTATATAGCACTCTCTCGCTCTCTGATTGTGCTAGAATAGAAACTGCATGTAATATAGGCCTTTTGGCCCTGCAAAGTCTGCAGCCAAGGGACCTATGATTTGAGGGAAATACAAACGTGAAGGAGACGCTCAGCTTTCATTTAAGAAGAAACAGTATGTTTCTAGCCCTCCTCCTTGCAAAGATCAACTTGAAAAACACAAATTGACATAAAATGATTGCTAAGGGTAGGTCTATACTTACCTCCGGGTCCAGCGGTAAGCAATCGATCTTCTGGGATCAATCCCGGAAGTGCTCGCCGTCGACGCCGGTACTCCTGCTCGGCGAGAGGAGTACGCGGCATTGACGGGGGAGCCTGCCTGCCGCGTCTGGACCCACGGTAAGTTCGAACTAAGGTACTTCGACTTCAGCTACGTTATTCACGTAGCTGAAGTTGCGTATCTTAGTTCGAAGTGGGGGGGTTAGTGTGGACCAGGCCTAAGTTTGAAAGGAAGAGGCAGCTGGGTTCCACTTCTGTAAGCAGGAGACTGGGGCAGAGCCAGGGAAGAATCTAAAGATTATCCCCCATACAATCACTTTTTATGTATAATGAATTAGTTAAGTTTGGGGTGTATTCCCAAAGAATTGTCTCACTAACCCTCACTAAAATCCTTAGGCTGGCCCTGTGCATAGAGGTCTGATAATTGTGGGCAGTAACTGATTACGATGGTAGACACAAGTAATTTGCTTCCAATGTCTGCCCAAAATTACCAAGGTTTGGTATGACTACAGAGCGTATTGTGTGTCTAGCATGTTCTTTGGAGCTATAAAATAATAAATAAATAATGGAATTTTAAAATTGATACATTGTCCAGGAGCTCAGTTTTAGCTCTCATCTGAAATATGGCAACTGCAGCAGCACAGTGCCCCCTAACACAATATAGGAACTCAGTTTTAGTACTGCTCTAAAGGAAACTACCTCACTTTCTGAACCATTAACATAATTGTGGACTTTTCTGGGAATGTTCCCATTCAAATACTAATCTGGCCCAACCCTTATCATCTTGTAAATCTTGCTTGCTCAGAAGATCAGAGGGCAAGATGGTAAGAACAAAATCTCTCTCATTACTAACACATAGTTCCATGATGCTTCCAACTATTTTATTACCATCTGAGATGATAAAGATAAGTTGGGTGAGCCAGAGAGCTGCAAAGAGCAGTCTTATCACTCTGCATAATCAGCCATGGCAGCATACAGAGAAAAGAGACACAGAACTGGGTGAGAAGGACAAAGATGGGGTAGCTGACTTGCAGTTTGACTTAGGCTCTATCAAACCCTTGAAAGGAAACAGAGACTCCAATCTGGGTGGAGAACTTTGTACACAACCATACTACTACTAATAATAATAATAATAATTAAATACACTAGATAATTCTGCCCATAGAAGAGTCACAGTCAGACTTTCAGATCCCTGGATATATGTGCACTATCTGCTATAATATGCAAAATGCTACATCATTACAGAAAAGTAAACACTAAACCCCATCCATCAGTGTTTCCCTTGACATCTTTGTTGGTCATATTTACAAGACTTTCTCCAGTAATCTCTAGTTTCAGTGAGGCAGTAACTCATCCTACCCGTTTTGCACAAAAACTCTCTTTTGGTCACCATAGCAACAATTTGCTGTTGACTCCAAACTCCCCTCAGGGCGTCATTATTTCAGGATAACTCCACCCTCCTGCCACGCTGCTTCTTTGCTTAATTACTTCATGAAATCCTGGCTTATCAGACAGATTTTCAATTAAATTAAAAGTAATAAAAATACTATTTTAAATTCTTCACTCTTTGTGCTGGAATTACACGCACTTAACAAAACACTTTAATGGAGTCACCCCATAATGTTCCTTCTGTCTCAGTGACCTTGAAGTTCTCGAACATCTGTCTTACCCTTATCTTTTCCTGAAATATTTTAGGCAGATGTAATTATAAAAAAAGTAATTAACCCCCAAAACTCAAGCCCTTAATTCAATTACTCATATGGTTTCTGCATAATTAAAATATAAGCAAATGTGGTCAGATATAGATTTTTTTTTAATACTGGTGGAAAAACACTTCTACAAATAACTTGTTTCTTTATACTGGAGACTGGAAGTTCAATCTATCTCCCTATATAAAGAAAAAGTCATCTGATTCAATTACCTGTGCAAAACAAAAGTATCTTCCTGTGTGACATTTTACACTGTGTTGTCTGAACTCCTTTTTCATTCCTTTTATATTGTTTCAGATATATGTGCTGCCCAAATTAAAAAGAGCACTGTTCCTAAGGTTCAGTAAACACTAATGTAGGTGCTACCTATGTGCCAGCTGAATAATAGGAAAAAAGACTAGGAGGGGCTGTTCCCATTGTGTGTGTTGGTGCTATACATTAATACCTGCACTGCTCTGCACCCACTGCGATAAGAGATGGTCGAGTTCATAGCTTTACTGAAATACTGGCTAGACCTGGGCAGGAAATGGTTTTTGTGTCCCAAAAAACTTTTTGAGATTTCAAAAAAATTCCTGTTCCATATTGAAAGGCTTCAGTTTTGTCCCAAAGTTTTTCACCATGAAAAATGAGCTTGAGAGACCCTCCCCAGAAAAGCCTATTGGTTAGGGCACTCACCTCTGATGAGGCTTCAAGTCCCTGCTCTGTCCTGACTGCGGGCTACTGGGTATTCAGGGTGGGTCTCTCTCAATCTCTCCTCTTGCAGCTGTTCCAGTTTGTGTAATTAATTAAATATTCAATGGACCAGAGAGAGGGCAGGAGTGGGATCAGGGCTGCGACAGGGAGATGGAGCACGGGGTGGTGGTTCAGGGGTGCAGGCTCTGGGCGGTGCTTACCTCAAGCAGCTCCCGGAAGCAGCAGCATGTCCCCCCTCTGGCTCCTATGCTGAGGCACACCACATGCTGCCCCGTCCACAGGCACCATCCCTGCAGCTCCCATTGGCCACGGTTCCTGGCCAATGGGAGCTGCCGGTGCAGCGCTTGAGGCAGGGTCAGCATGCAGAGTGAGCCCTCTGCCTACCCCTATATATAGGAGCCGGAGTGGGATACACCGCTGCTTCCGGAAGCCGCATAGCCCCTGACACTGTTCCTTGGCTGGAGCGCCAGAGCAAGGCAAGGCCCAGACCCCTCTCACCAGTGGGACTCGAGGGCCAGATTAAAATGGCTGGCAGGCCGGATGTGGTCCGCGGGCCGTAGTTTACCCACCACTGCTATAGCCCGTTGGTTAGGGCACTTACCCAGGACTTCAACCTGCATCTCCCATATCCCTATGATAATAAATAGACCTGAAGAACAGCTCTGTGTGAGCTCAAAAGCTTGTCTCACTCACCAACAGCTGCTGGTCCAATAAAAGATATTACCTCTCCCACCTTCTCTCTCCAATATCCTGGGACTGACATGACTACAACACCGTGGCATACAATTAATATTTAATTATTTATACAACGTGAAGCAGTTCCAACAGGAGTGACTGAGAGACCCACCCCAGAATACACGGTAATTCTGTAATGGTTCATATCAAGGCACTACCTATTCAATGTCTGACTTATTTTAATTATTTTCTACTTTAACATTACCTTCACCCTTCTCCAAAGCTTAAATTTGATACTTACTGATGCCAACAGCTGTAATAAGCTTGATTGCTAGGTCTGGAATTTCACATTGGATAAAAAATGGTTCCAAAATATAGCGTCCAAATGCCAAGGATATCACTGCTGTAGCAGCAGGGCTAAGGTAAACAGAAAGAAAGAATCAAGAAATGATGGTTAATCTACACCAGTGGATAAACAATGTTCACACAGGATCATCTTCATTATCACAAAACTGAGTTCAATTTAACTGTGGTGTGTCCTTCGTAACGGTGTAAATCCACAGTGTCTGAATATAGTGGAGGTTCTCAGGAGTACATAATCACTTATGCTTTGCTCAGATGCTACTGAACTATCATCATCACTTTTATCAACATGGACTGACTTATGACTTACCTGTTGTACTACAGTCAGAAATAACATGCACTGGAGATTTATGAACACAGTCTTTGTTCATTCCCTTTAAGTCAAATAGGATCAGGTACCAGATAATAGCTGGTATTTAAATCCAACTTTATAGAAGTTTATGTGGATAGAATTTTAATGTTTGCATGCATCTCATTCTTCACAAGAGAATTTCAAAGTTTAGAGATTCTGCTTTATTCAGATAAGCGTCCTAAAAATATCCAGCACTTGTACCAAAATCCTAGTGTATTTAATCGGGATGAAGCGGTGTCACTAAATTCTAATTGTAATAGGCTTCTGTGAATCATTTCTGCTTCCTGTCCTGGTCAAAAGCTTCAAGTCCCTTTCAACATGGAGAATATTCCTCAAAGACAGTGAGAGAGCACTTATTGCACAATGAAATGTGCAGAAAGAAAGTACATATTACAGAGATGGGTGAGGTGATTTCAAGAGCAGGAGATAGCTCACATCAATATATGCAAGACCAGCTTAATAAGGGATATGCCTCCTCTTCTTTTTAAGACAAGGGAGAAAGTTAGCCAGAGGCCTTAGCATTAACCCAGATATTGACATCAGTTTGCCCTGTTACTCTAGGTTAGACGTAGTCATGTTGCCTACATAGTGGTGTTCCAGGAATTCTGTTTCCGGAAATATTATTTCTACCTGCTCAGACAGCTATTTGTGCTTCCATCACCGAGTTACAAACAATAAGGAGCTAAGGGCCAGGGATACCTTTGATCTGATTCCCCTGGAGCAAGGCCCAGCCCATACAGATTAGTATTTTTATTTCCGCTTGTGGTCAAAACCAGGAAGTGCAACAGTGCTTGCAAATTCAAACAAAACAAAAAGTTAAGTACACTTTTTATTCAAAGTTCAGTAAAGGTCTGGTTCAGTCCAGAGGAGAGATGAAAGTTTAGGTAATTTTGTATTTAAACTTGTTCAACAATCCTTACCAGAGTATCTTTACAGAAACACCTTATAGAATATAACAATGGTGAAACCAACAGAAATTAAACAAGACTGTATTGAAATTGCTCTAAAAAACTCTAGAATTTAAATAAAGAATAATAGTCTGTCTATGGGATTTAAACCATCCTTTAGAATGTAATAGCTAATATCCATGCCATAAAATTTTATGAGACAATTTTAAAATTCTATTGAGAGGTTATTATTGTGTGTTAAATTCCACAAGGGAGCTGCATTTCTGAAAAGAAAAATATTTTCTTAATGTTGTGACTCAGCCACTATATCATAGATTGTGTTGGATCAGACTGCTGGCAAGCAAATGCTAAAACTATCTTGTTAACAAAGGTTCTGTGTTGGTTAAGGGAGGGTTGCTATTTGCACACATTTACCACTCCCGCACCCATCCTCATACATGGGGGTTTAATGGCTTAGCAGACACTCAGGGCCTGATTCTCTTCTCATTTACATGTCACTATATTAACTTCAATTGAGTTACTTCTAATTTACACAGGAGTAAGTGAGAGGAGAATCAAGCGCCCCCAGCGTTCAGTTAGCATCAAGTTGTTTGTACTGCTACAAATCTACCATCAGACCAGATCTTTTGAGTATCCACACACAACTTCCTTCTTCAATTCCAGTGCTCTCTTCCAGAACTTTACCTAATCTTTTTTTACAAAGACCTCTTTTTAATTCTCTTAAAGAGAGAGTGATGGTTAGGTGCACCACTACAATTTTTACACTCCTGCTTTCCTAAATTGTGCCTGCAATAAATACTGTGGCTTAATGAGCATTTATATGCTCTCATTTTTCTGTGGATTGCGCTAACAGCTACAGTCCACAAATAAGAGAGCAGAGGGTCAAAGTAACAATACACTTTGCATTGTATTGCAAATGTGAAGAAAAGTTGGCAAAGTAGATACACCTTGTGCACTTCTCTTGCTTTCAGTAATAGGTATAAAGAGAATGTATCCCTTGCAAACAAAAGATAGTAGCTGACTATGTGCGGATAGAAGTAGGAAAATTAACACCAGCACATCCCATAACTCTAAATAGGTTGCAGTATGACATTGTCCAACCTATGGTTTAAGCCCTGTTAGCAACCACTTGACATGGTTTTATAACACAGGTCTAACATGGTTCTCGGGGTGGGGAGAGGAGGAGAAAATATTCCTGAATGCACTGGTTAGAGAAAGTGTATGTGAAAGTCACATTTAAACATAACCGTTGCTAGCACAGTTTAATTTATATCACACAGAATTGAAACATCCCTTGGATTTGTAATACTGTGGCTGAAATGATATATGGGAGCAGGAAATGTTTATTCTTTATTGTGGCTGCTCCACTAGTCTGTGGTTTTCATAATCCTGCAGTCTTTCAGAGGAAAAAGGACACAGCTGAGGAATGTGTGTGTAACTTTTCTGACTCCTTAGAAGTCACTGCTTAGAACACAAAGTACATATTGGGTGGCTAGTTCTTTCCACAGTAACAACCAATTAGTTCACAGCCATAGGAATCAGAAATAAAACTCTACACGGAATTTCAGCAATGTAATTCTGATAACTACAAGTTATAACAAGTACGCCCCCATAATTATTTCTCAGAATTACTGATTCACGGATGGTTTGACTTTATTCTCATGCACAGTTTATATTTATTTGGGTGTGGGACAGGTTATGATGAAAATGAATGTTCTCGTGACATCATCAGGATGTTGACACATTTTAAACAAACTTCGGGTTCAGCGTGACTTAGCATTATTACTGCGTTTAACCAACTTAGTCTGTGCTAGAATTTGAATCCTTGCCCATTTTTATGTAAGTCTGGCAGTGAGATCAAATAAAGCATGTGCACTGTGATTAGCTTGCTGCATGAGAGGAAGTAAGTCTTACTAAGGCCAAGCAGATTTGAAGTGACCTGCGTTTATTTTATGTAGGTGAATTGTCATAACTATATAGTTATGACAATAGAAATAGTTCAAATAGATTTCAAGGGACTAACTTTCTATAATCAATTTGAATGTGATAACTGATATCCATTAAAATTGTGGGTGTTGGTTTGATATAAAGACACTTATAATTATTATACTTTAAGGCTCCAACAGCGTATACACCTGTAGCATAAGACACAAAACAACACAATAAGGCAGATTCTTGGCCCAAGTTAAGTACTTATGGACTTAAAGCTGCTTTACATTGGCAACTGGGGATTCTCCTGTTTTAGAGTAATATCTGAGTGCTGTAAAGCTGCCATAGCCAGCTCTAAATTTCTCACACCTTCACAGAGGAGAAAATGTAGGGGCATGAGCAGAGCACATGGTTCTCTGGCGAGCCATGGCCAGCTGAACAGTACTCTAGTGATATGTCTACAACACAGGGTAAGCCCAGGGTTCAAACTCAGGCTCAAGCCTAACCCCCCTTCCTTCTACACACAAATCATGCTGACCCAGGGCTTGGACCCAGGATCTCAGGATCCCACAGGGGTGGAACATCCAAGCCTGAGTCAAGCTGGGACCCAGGGTTTAAACCCTATTGCTTTGCATTGTAGCTGCTATCCCACTGGACTCATGTTCTAAGGGTCCATCAAAAATATCCCACAATTCCACTGGCTGACTACCTTTGTCCTCTGGACAGCCAAGTTTGGTGAACAGTCAAGTTTTCCCAAACTGCACCATGAACAAAGGGCTAGAGTAGCCACATTTTGGGAGGGTAATTAGACTTGGGTTTGCAAAATGCTGTTTAGATGCTGAAGCTCCATGTTGGGACAATTCCTATCCTGGGGTTACAAATGAGTGTAGATGCTCAACCCCTAGGTTATCAAAACCAGGGTCTGCTAACTCAAATTCCGATAACCCTGGATTACATTGCAGTGTAGACATACCCAAGGATACTATTCCTGTCTCTATTGAGGGAGGTAGAAAGATAGTTTAGAGCTATCTTTGCATCCCTCCTCAACTATTCCAAGCCAGAGTTCACTTCCACAAATCTAAGTAGGTAGCCAACACATGACATACTGCGAATTCAAAAGGTAGGTCCTTTAGAGTATTTTTAAATATGATGTGTGGGTATCAGCACTATTACTGACATGGGCGAGCATTGCAGGCTTTGCAGAAGAATTGAAATCAAGTAGCTGAATTTTTATGAAAACCAGTTCACTTTAAATCATTTTTCTTAAAAATATCTTGAAACCAAATCGTCAGTGCTGGCAAATGAAATAGAACCAGTAAGTGTCCTGCAGCAGAAATAATTTAAAAAAAAAAAAAAAACCACCACAGCTGGAAGATCAAAATCCATTTGATTATTTCTGTCCCCCTCATATCTGAGGTTTCTCTTTGTATTTGAAACAGCATTGACAGTGGACAGAGAAGGTAAATAGAACCCTCAGCACACTTACCGTATTATAAGCAGTTCCACCCAGACTCTAACAAAAGCCGGTAATGGGCCAAATGCCTCCAGGATGTAAGTGTAGTGGCCACCGGATTTCTTGATACATGTTCCCAGTTCAGCATAGCACAGTGCACCTATGGAAATGTATTTAAAATTGAAATGTTGTATCATAAGACATAACCAATAATGTTTATTCAAAACTTTTGTGATACATGAGCATTAGGAACAGACTAAACAATAGAGCAAGTTATTCACTGAGTAATTATTTCTGACAAGTTTGACATATTTCTTCAAATAAGTTATTTGTAAATACATTTTTCATTAGTTCAATCAGCCCTGTAAGGGCCCAAATCTTTGTGTGTAATTTATTCAATTACATTTTTCTGTAGCCCACTGAATAGGTAATTTACTAATACAGTTTCTCATTACTCAACCAGCTCTAGTAAACAGATAGATGAAAATGCTGTGTCATGCTAGCTTGGAATCATAGAATATCAGAGTTGGAAGGGACCTCAGGAGGTCATCTAGTCCAACCCCCGCTCAAAGCAGGTTGTCTGGCTACCCACCAAACAATGACAAAAGGTGTGTCTACACTTGGAGAGGGGTGTGTGATTCCCAGCTCAAGGAGACATACTCGTACTAGGTCACATCGAGCTAGCACACTAAAAACAGAGTATAGCCATGGCAGCACAAATAACAGGAGGGAACGAGATCTTTGACAATGAGCCCCTCCCAACGCTCATTCTGCTGTGGCTACATTTGGTTGTTAGCATTCTAGCTAGTACATCTCTTGGGAATACCCAAAAGCCCTGTCACTAGGAAATATCATTGGTTTTCTCTCTGCTGAGATTACAAGGGCCTGGAAACTGTACTACACGTTCTGAGGCACATTGATGGAGCAATGTCAGGAAGTGTCCACTGTTGATTCAGGACTTCACTCTCTAAGGCTTGGTCTACACTAAACCCCCAAATTGAACTAAGGTACGCAACTTCAGCTACGTGAATAACGTAGCTGAAGTTCGAAGTACTTTAGTTCGAACTTACCTCGGTCCACACGCGGCAGGCAGGCTCCCCCGTCGACTCCGCGGTACTCCTCTCGTCTAGCTGGAGTACCGCAGTCGACAGCGAGCACTTCCTGGTTCGACTTATCGCGTCCAGACAAGACACGATAAGTCGAACCCAGAACTTCGATTGCCAGCCGCCGAATTAGTGGCTGGGTGTAGACATACCCTAAGACTATCAATGTGTTGTGTACTAGCACCACCCCCACTCCTCAAATCAGGTTGTTCAGGGCTTGCACATTACTGCATTTGTTCCTAGCTCTGGGAAGCTTCATGGGTTTCTGTATTGCAAGATGACTTCACATTTCCCTAGTAAGAAGAATCTTTCATTCTTCAATATGTTTACACTGGATCAAATAAAAAGAAAACCAGTGTTGTGTTATTACTTTAGAAGGTCTGGTCATGCAAAAGTCATTTGGTCCACTGTGGAGGGACTGTACAGCACAATGATGACCCTCGGAAAGCTCCCTGAGGCTGCCACATGCACAATATGCATCCTCAGCCTTTATGGAGCATTCAGCAGCATGCCAGAACAACAACATGGACCTGCATTAAATATTCTTAGCCATGTACCATCCCTCCAGTCTTTGTGTCTGCTGGGGTGTATAATAGGCCACCACCACACAGTTACAAAGCCAATAGATTCTCAGCTCCATGTATGGACAGCATCAGTCAAGGAGAGATTTACCAGCACTAACAAATGCAGTCAACCTATTCATTAGTGTATGCCCAGTGTTTGAGCAGCCTTTGGGAATCAATGATAAAGTGATATGGTGTCTAGTGTTATGATCAATACAATATATGCAGTTATCAATTATGTGTTCTCTAATTAATTTATGTCACTGTAATTATAAGATATAAAGCACATTTGTCAAAAACATACAGAATCTTAAATGTCCAGGGTTATGCAGAGACATGCATACATCTGCTATAGCTATTGCAATACAAAAAACACCAAATAATACATAATTTTAGAGATGGATTTGTAATTCAAAGGGCTTCTATTCTGTTCTTATTCTGACAGCAGCCCATAAAATCATACATTTTAATGAAGAATATCAGGCATATCTCATTTCTTTGGTAAATAAAGTTGGGTAAACTTTATTTGAGATTATTCAAGGTACCTGATAATCTATTTAGAGTCACATTTAATAAACCTATTGGCAGATTTTCTCTTGCCAAGCACATCTGGAGAGACACAATATAGAATCAGTCTGAGGTAACTACTGTAATGTTGCAATACATGTTTCACAGTGACCCTCACTGATCAAATAGGTGAACTTCGTATAAGATTTTACCACAGCATGTAGTGTAGGGGAAATCTCAATAATTTACTACACTTTTAATCACTTGCTCATACAACACATACCTAAATTAAAGTGTATAATGCTATGTTGAGGCAAGTTCTATCTCTAGTTTAATCTAAAGGCCAGCGTCTCCTAACTAGGTTCCAAGTTATGTGTCAGCTCTCACTTCACTTGTAGAGGAGGATTTCGGTCTAAGGCAGAACCTCCAAAGTTCCACAGTAGATTTTTGTTGTGCATGGTACTTTGGCATCAAAATAGTACGTTTAGCTTCTGATTAAAATTGATCCTAACTTTCTTCAACTGCACATTTAGCTAGGGCCTTATGTTCCTTCTTAACAGCTGATGCCTCTTTTAAGTCCACAGCCAATTTACACAAGATGACATTTACATGGTTTTAAGCAGATGTTACTTAGTGCTTGCCCTCAAGACCACTTGCCAGAAAACAAGTAGTCTGTCAGAAAATATATGGCAGTAGTTAAAACCCTCAATAAGTGTTAGCTGCTAAGTTCCATAATTTTTTGTGACATGGTCTTTCATAGTGATATAGTGAATTGGTGAATAAGGTGAAAAAAACAGTAACAAAGTTTTCTCTCACTCATTCTCTTGCCAATAAAATTTTGTCCAGCAGAAGCTATTCAATTCAGAGCTTAATCTAGTCAGTGGGGAGCTGGATCATGCTGTCTATACATTTCACAGATATTCAGATTGATTGGTCCATATCCCCAATTGCCAACACCTTGCAAGCATGCTGTAAACAAACCATTACAACTAGAACAAAAAGTCATAAATAAAACATAGTATACTTCCCTCTCCTCTTACTTTAGGGACTCATAAGAAACATTATTTGGTCTTATAATATTTATAAAAAGGTACAGCAGGGTTTTGTGTCATAATGATTGTGAAAGAGATAATGCCGAATTCATAGTACAGACACTATCAAATAACAAAAAATATCTGTAGCCTTATTGGTCCTCACATATCAGATTGGTCTTTGATATCCAATAGCAGAGGGGAAAATCCACCAACTACCCCCAAGGATCAATTATAAAGTTTCACCAACTTACCAAACAGTGAGAGGATACCACACACTGTCCAGAGAATCAAGGACATTCCCACACTGCCTGTGTTCTTTAGGATCCCTTTGGGAGAGATGAAGATTCCTGCTCCAATGATAGTGCCAATTATAATGGATACCCCTCTCAAAAAAGTTACTTTCTTCTTCAGCACCACTTTTTCTTCTTGGGCTGGCTCTTTACTGTCCAGAGAGGGCAACCTGCCAATAGATTGCCCCTGCAAAGAGCTTCCATTAGAGATTGTGGAGAGAGCAGGTTTCCTAAACATGCTATAGTGCCACCAACACACTCAAGACAAACAAAATAAAAAACTTTCTGGCAAGCACTCAAAGTTTCTTCCCTTCAATCTTTGTGCTATTTTTCTAACTGCTCTCACTCTCTTTCTCTGCCTTATGTTACCTTTCAAGCTGCTCCTGCACACAGGTATAACACTCTGAAGTGTATTTTAATATTCACTGCTGTATAAATACTACTTAGTAACACCTGTCCTTTCACGTTGTTAGCTGGTGCTGCCCTCTCATTGGAAACCAGCTCAGCTTCCGCATGGACTTGTATTTAAGCTCCTGTCATATCAAATTAGTCTGCTGAATGATGATGCAAATTCTCCAGGTTTGCATCAGCCATAAGAAAAGTCTCTGACATTACTCAGCATTTTCAAATGGCAACAGCATGTTGCACAACTGATTTGAGCTTCTTAGGAAGAACAAAGCTCTCACTTGAAAGGAAGTTTAACCAATCAGAAGGTAGTAGATTTCTGTCAACACACTCCCATATATTTAAAGGAACTCGTAGTGAGACACACAAGCCTGATTTAAAACACAAAGATCTTTAGCCAAAAAGAAAAAAAATCAAACAGGATGTGTCACCTTTGGTTCTATTCCAATTTTTTTTTTTCAAAAACTTTTAAACTAATATAGGTTTTGTGGGTTTAAACTTTTCTTTTTTAGTTGGTTGGTTTCTCTGAAATCTATTCCTTACCTGGACATTTACATAAAGACTACATACCTTTACATAAAGACTACATATAAACCTTTTCCTACGTTATGTTGCCTAGCAACAGCCAAATCAGACTAGTGAAAAATCTAGGTTATTTCCACAGTAATTCTCACATGTACAGAGTTTCTGGGATATTTGTAAATAATGCACAAATGAAAATACCCCTTCAAGTCAAGTAAGCACTCTTGCTAATATTTACAGCAAATTCTTTTAAGAGATGATAGAATGATATCAACATTTCAGAGTACTGAATCGTCACGTCACAATGCCTCAGAAACCAGAAACACCATCTGATCGTCATGTCACAATAGTGCAGGCATGGCCAAACTGTGGCTCGTGAGCTGCATGCGTCTCTTTTACAGTTAAAGCGCGGCTCACAGAGGCCCCCCCCCAATCCAATTCCCCCATTCTCCACCTAGTAGACTGAGCGGGGGGAGCTTGGGGCTTCTGCCCTGCGGCGGGGTGGTGGGACTAAGGGATTCCGCACTGCAGAGAGGGGAATCTAAGGGCTTTAGCCCTGCAGGGAGGGTTGCAGCTCTCAAACTTCTGAAGACCATTATATGCAGCTTGGGGGGTCAGTAAGTTTGGCCACTCCTGCAATAGCACTTTCCTGAGTGGATTAATTAATCTGTACTTAGATTTCTTGCTAACTCAGCTGAGTTACTTGATTTCAAACCAAAACATGAAAAGTAAAATAAAAAAGAAGCTTTCATTAAAAAAAAATCAATAGTCCTTGAGCACTTACAACCTCATCACGGGACAGCCTGTACAGTATATGCCAAAGGAAAAAAATTCCTATGTAGTATGACTACTGCAGCTGCTCATGGCTTTGGGGTCAATCAGCATAATGAGAAGTAATTGTTGCCTTGCATGTTCCCTTTACAGTTATTGCTTAATTAGCTCCGAATAGGGGGGAAAAGATATTAGCTAAACATTTTGTCATTTCAGAAGACGGCACTGAGCTCTAAGCACAACTTCTGTGTTTTTAAGTGTATCTTGGAAACAGTAAATATTAGAGTATCATAGCAGTGCTGTTTATACTGCAGTAGTAAAAGCTGAGTCAATGCTTTTAAAACCCATATTTTCAGGGGTTATAAGTTGTCTAAAATAATTTGCACTGTGATAAAACTAGGCATAAAAAGCCTGACTGCTTTTAATCTACAGAGGAACAAACACAAATAGTTTTTAGCATTTGGATATATATTTGTAGTGCTATAATATTTTTAAAAGGCTGATTTCTTCCTCCATACCCTTCCCTGTGTTCAACAGCAGCTCATTTGATTTCTCCTCTGGTTTATACTTCTCTTCAGCACACCATTGGATCAGGCCCCATAAAACAGTGTAATGTTTCTTTGTCCAAAGAGTATTACATGCCACTCACATATGAGCTAGAGGAATTGCTACAGAATAATTCAAGATGGTCCCTCTTTTTGCCAGACATGCGACCCTCCCAGCACCTGCAGTGAGTGACCTGATCCACAAACCAAGCGAGGTCAAAGCATTAGCCACAAATCTGTGCTGGTCTGATGAATTTAAAATGAATTTTAAAAGGCTATATACTGAACAATCACAAGTAGAGCCGGTCAGGAATTTTTTGAGGAAATGGTTTTAGTCAGAACCTGTCAATGTGCCAAAACTAAAACTTTTCTAGGGAATGTGCCAATTTCAACAAAACTTTTGTCAAGAATTGGTTTCTCAAATCCAGTTAGGAATTTCTGATCAAAACAAGAGACAGAGAAAGAGCACCCTAGAATAGCTAATAGCCTGATGATTAAGGCAGTCACCTAAGATGTGGAAGACCTAGTCTCAAGTCCTTGCTCTGCCAGAGTCAAACAAAGGACAATATTTATTTGACCCTGGGCTCTTCTAGCCAGTAGTAACCTAGCAACTAACATTGACTCCAGCAGTTCACAGAGTCCCGCTGAGGAAGTCAGTAGAGGTGGTCTTTGCACAACCCTGATACAGAGCCCATGTTGAAGGTTGATTTAAGTTATATTGGTTGTCAGTAGCCCCAAAAGAGCAATAGAAGCATTCTGGTCATAGAAGCATTCTGGCCATGCGCCCATCTCTGACTGTACATCAATGAAGGTTCACCATGCACAGGAATGATCATCCTGTGGCTGACATGTTTGAGTTAGGGCAGTGGTTTTCATCCTTTTTCATTTGTGGACCCCTAAACAATTTCTAATGAAAGTGCAGACCCCTTTGGAAATTCAACCTGTGATCCATAGACCCCCTACCTAGGGTGACCAGATGTCCCGATTTTATAGGGACAGTCCAGATATTTGGGGCTTTTTCTTACATAGGTGCCTATTACCCCCCACCCTCTGTCCCGATTTTTCACACTTGCTATCTGGTCACCCTACCCCTACTATAGAAGAGTTAGACTGAAAACTGACTGAACAGAATTCAACTATATACATTGCACATGCTCAGCATGGAATTTGATGCAGCGTGAGAAAGGGCACTAAACTGTGGGCTTCTGTGGTAACAACACCACCTCTTGGGATCTGAAACTTTATCATCATAGTCACCTTTTGTAGACCTCTTAGGCATAGTCTGTGAACCCCCAGGGTTCCACAGGCCATGGATTGAAAACCACTGAGTTAGGGCAATACTACACACTATTACAGCACAAAGTGGCCACATCTTCAGTTTTCACCAAAAATATATAGATACTGATTGGTTTGGGTTTGTTTTTAATTAAGGTTTCAGGTGATTTTCTATTTTTCTTTACCAAAGCCTTCACTTTTGAAGATTTTCCAGTAACAGCATTTATAATCTGTGTTTAGATTGTGAGTTCCCCAAATGCTGTATCAGCATTTTGGGAGTTATTAGAGCCAGAGTAATTTACAGTAGCCCATGGGATGATCTAACTTAATGCCAGTGGACCAGTCTGGTGCACTGCCAGCCCCAGGGTAGAGGAGTATTTCAAGGTGTCGTAAAGTCATGTTTGCATGCCCTCCTGAGCAGTATAGTGTACTCCTTAGCTGATGACTCTATTAAACCAGAAGTGGCTTGAGTGACCCCGGCAGGTAGATATGCCAAGGGTATGTTTTATTGTGATGCAGAGTTTGAGAGAACACAAATTAAATCGAGGCCCCACATGTGACTCCTGCAGAGTCAGACCTTTTACATAATATGCGTGTTAACGGTTGTCTTCTGCACTGTTTTTTTTTTGTTGCTGTTGTTGTTGGTTTTTGTTTTATTGTGTGTTAGCTGCAACAGTCTATATTCTTATATGTCCATGCCACACCTACCACATTATGAGGGCTCCTGTAATATAAACAATAACTAACAACAACAGCACCTCAATGAGGACACAAAAGGCGAAGTTTGATTTCGAGCCTCTAAGTTGGTCCAGGCAGCAAACAACCTGGGGAATCGGGAATAGGCATACTATTCCTATGCCTATTTCATTCACATACTTGCTTCCCAAATTTTGAAGTCCAAATTTCATTTTATATTTTTGCAGACAATAACAAGATATACATGTCTCTTACTGCCCTTACACTTTACAATTACATGATACATCATTGAAGGAAGTACCTTTTATATTATACTTCTATTTCATCTTTTGTACTGGCCTAGTGGGTGGCGAAAAGCTGTGGATGTGAAGTATCAGACGGGTAGCCGTGTTAGTCTGGATCTGTAAAAAGCAACAGAGAGTCCTGTAGCACCTTTAAGACTAACAGATGTATTAGAATATAAGCTTTCGTGGGTGAATACCCACTTCGTCAGACGCATGTAATGGAAATTTCCATAGGCAGGTATAAATATGCAGGCCAGAATCAGTCTGGAGATAACGAGGTTAGTTCAATCAGGGAGGGTGAGATCCTCTGCTAGCAGTTGAGGTGTGAACACCAAGGGAGGAGAAACTGCTTTTGTAGTTGGCTAGCCATTCACAATCTTTGTTTAATCCTGATCTGATGGTGTCAAATTTGCAAATAAACTGAAGCTCAGCAGTTTCTCTTTGGAGTTTGGTCCTGAAGTTTTTTTGCTGTAAGATGGCTACCTTTACATCTGCTATTGTGTGGCCAGGGAGGTTGAAGTGTTCTCCTACAGGTTTTTGTATATTGCCATTCCTGATATCTGACTTGTGTCCATTTATCCTTTTACGTAGTGACTGTCCAGTTTGGCCAATGTACATAGCAGAGGGGTATTGCTGGCACATGATGGCATATATAACATTGGTGGACATGCAGGTGAATGAACCGGTGATGTTGTAGCTGATCTGGTTAGGTCCTGTGATGGTGTTGCTGATGTACATATGTGGGCAGAGTTGGCATCAAGATTTGTTGCATGGATTGGTTTCTGAGTTAGAGTTGTTATGGTGCGGTGTGTAGATGCTGGTGAGAATATGCTTAAGGTTGGCAAGTTGTCTGTGGGCGAGGACTGGCCTGCCTCCCAAGGTCTGTGAAAGTGAGGGATCATTGTCCAGGATGGGTTGTAGATCACTGATGATGCGTTGGAGAGGTTTAAGCTGAGGACTGTAGGTGATGGCCAGTGGAGTTCTATTGGTTTCTTTCTTGGGCTTGTCTTGTAGTAGGAGGCTTCTGGGTACACATCAGGCTCTGTTGATTTGTTTCCTTATTTCCTTGTGCAGATGCGGATACTGTTCAATATTTTCATTAATTACTTGGATAATGGAGTGGAGCATATGCTTATAAAATGTGCAGATGACACCAAGCTGGAAGGGGTTTCAAGCATTTTGTAGGACAGGGTTAGAATTCAAAA